AAATTACTTTTTAGATATAAAATCCAGAAAATAAAATGGATCAAAACTGGTATTTTCAAACATACTAATACCTAATTCCTTTGCTTTTTGTGAAGGCATTGCAAAACTCTTCCACCTGGAATATCTACCAGTAAGAATGTTTGGAGCTGTGGTAGAGACAAAAGATGATTAAAATGTGTAAAAAAAAATGAATAAAATGTTGTAAATACTGTAGAAAAATGTGACCAAAAATTAGATGATTTTTTAACTCCATATAAACCACTGGTGATCACTGTTAAAAATAAAATGAATAACACGTACACTTTGAGTGATTGGAAGTGGCTGCTGAGGCTGACTCGTTTCGCTGCCTACATTCCTCTGTGGATCCTTCCTCTTGTGGCCCCATTTCCACTTGAAAAACGAATCTGTCCATGAGGTGATCGATGAGCTCTTTTGCCTCTTCTGGTTTAGTTCTGATGACCATATGCAGTGGAGGTTGTCCTGCAGAGATCTTAAGCTCGGTAAGGTTTCTGTAGAACCAGAACCCCGCAGAAATATTTTGAAACTCCACCAAAAGATACTTGAATGATTTATAACCTTTCACATATTGCACTCAGTTTTTTTTTTTTTTTAGAAGTTTGAACTTTAGAAATGAATGCTTTAAAGAGTTAAACATTGCTTCAATGAAACATCTCTCCAAATAACTTAAATAAATGCAATCAAAAATATTATTAAAGCAAGGTTAAGATGTTTACCTGTATTTGTGATGCTTCAGAACCCAACAGAACAAAATCAGAACCACCAAAATCAGAAATAAAATCAGGAGAGAAATGAAGAGGAGGTCTATTGACTCCAGATTGGCCATTGCAGTGCTCAGTCCTGAAATGTAGAGGGTAGTGAAGGACTTTTGGCCAATTAACAGCGTTTTGAACTAAAGGAGAAATTAACAGTTAATTTTTTATAGCAAACTGTGGAGACAGGAATCATGCCAAATGAAAAAGAAATCTTGAAATGCTTCCAATGTATTACACCCTGCACAAATCAAAATGTCTTTATCTGAGGAGTAAGAGAATTAGAATAAAATTAGAGCTGCTAGCAGAGTTTCTAATTGATAGGCCTAAATGAGTGAAACTTCTATAGTGGAAATAAGAAGCATTATGGCATTATGCATCACAGATAAAACAGAAACATACCTGCTTTTTCTGCTATTGTCCCAAGATTGTTTTGTCTGTTTTGTCGGAAAAACTAACAGTTTTTTTTTCTGAATTTAAAAGAAAGCATTGTGTTGGAATTTGTCATTTTTTTAAAAACATTCTGTAGTTAACGTACTAAAAAAAGAAAAAGAAAACTTTATAAAACAAACAGACTTTCAGTTTTTTTTAACAGTATTATCAGTTATATTCATTGTGCTGGTACATCTCTTTCTACATTTCCTGCTATAAAAGCCAAATGTTACTGTTTATATAAGCTATCTCAGATGCTATTAAAAAAATATATTTGGCAAGTATTTTATATTTTTCTTCTTTCATCTCTTTGTTATAATTACTGAGATTATTTTTCTTCTGATTAGCTGGCAGTTCCTTGGAATAACTTCTTTTTCAGAAATTTGGCTACCAATAAACTTCACTTTGTTTGAAGAGACTCTTAGAAGCTTAAATTATCAAAGAAGCCAAACCAAGTCCTTTCAAGCAGCATCATCAATCTTTGCAAGCAAGGAAAGTCTATTTATATAGCACATTTCAGCAACAGGACAGTTCCCAGTCTGCAAGATGTTAAGATGAGATAAGATCAAGTCATCAACAGTTTAAAATGCTGAACTAAGGTCCAACATCACAAGTACTGTGGTTCTTCCACAGTCTGCATTTATATGGATGTCATTGAACAGCTTGACAAGGATAGTCTCTATACTGTTGTGAGGATGGAAATCTGACTAGAAGACATGAAAGTGACTTGTCATCATTAGGAAGTGTTTTTGATTACTGATGAAAGGAAGGTTTGAGATGGGCCTGTTCAGTGGTTCTGCAGAAGCAGCTTGTCCAAATTTTTCTTTTTATTTTATTGAACAGTGGTTAAATAATTTGTGTTTTTAGGGCCTTGGTGTGTTAATTATATGAATGAAATCAGATGTTATAATGGCAAATCTGTCTTAATATAAAATGTGGGTAAAACATCAAGACAGCAGGGGAAAGAGCTCAATAGGTGTACGTTAACCACTTCATCTCAAGGCACTTTACAGAGACACTTCAACCAGATCATACAATCAGATTGATTCAAAGTTTTCTATCTAAGGAAAACCAGCTGATTGCATGACTCATTGAAAACAATCCCTCACACCAAGCATTCTTGTAGCGACACTGCAAAGAGAAAAACTCTTATAACAGGAAGAAACCTCCAACAGAACCAGGCACAGTGTGAGCGGCCATCTGCCGAGGCCGAATGGGGTCCAAGGAGACAGAAGCAGACATAAAAAAAAAGAAGCAGAGACACATAAGGTAACTGTCAACCAGCTCCACAGGCGGCCCGGCCCAGGAAAGACACAGCCAGGCAGATCAGCTCCCATGTCAGAGGATGAAAGGGAGCACATACAGTTAGTCACAGTCAGAGAAACAGGACTACACTGTTAAACAAGCCAAAACTGCTTGATGTGTCTGCTTGATGTTGGCTTGTTCTGCTAAGGTTCTCCTGAGAGGCTCCTGTGGGTCTATTGGCCTGAGGTTCTGTCCTGGTGTTTTCTAGCTTTCTGAGCTTTAAGTAAAAGAGTTTGAACAAAAAAAAAAAAAAAAAAAAAAAACAATGGTCCCGCAAGGAACGACCAGCAGAGGTCTCAAAATTAATCACCATCATTACTCAAGTAGAAGTAAAGATACCCGGATTTTTTTTATTTTTTTTTTATTTTATATTTGAATAAACTTTTAACTTTTAAACTTTTTTTAGTGTTAAACTTTTAAATTTTTAACTTTTAAAGATACCCTGATAAAAAAAAAAAAAACATTTGAAGAAATTCAAGTATTAGATCAAGCTTTTTACTCATGTACAAGTACCGGTATGTACAAATATTCTTTTTTGTTTCTGCATTTTTTATTTTATTTATTTATTTTTTTTTCCTACTTGCTTTGATTCTGTTTATCTTCCTGTATTTTAATCATGTAAAGCACTTTGCATTGTACTGAATTGTACTATACAAATAAATTGCCTTGCCTAGCCTACAATTATAACATTTTAAGTTTCCATACTACTTAAAGTATTGAAGAAAAAGTAATGAGAAGGACCAAAAAAAAATGCCACATAGTATAAAAGTGTGTGTTTATATAAAAATGTTAACGTTGAATAATTTGGAATATATTAGGCTGCCAATTTCAACTGGATATATGTCCACAGAAAAGTATTGAATTTTTGTACAATAGTAATGTATAAAGAACCCATATGTGCACTAGTGAGCAGTAGTGTGTTTCATTTCAAGATATGAAGACTAATTGCTATTGTGCAAAAATTCAGATTTCAGAGGCCTTTTGAGTAGCCTTTATTGACGAGTAAAAGTATATTCAAGCTTAGCTGCACTGACGTTAAACGAAAGGTTACAAAACAGGACAGGAACCAGTAAATATATGACAGACTTTGTAACAATCATTTGTGTATGGCTGGTCAGGTAAACTACACAATACTTTACCTGACCAAACTGATAAAAAACTAGAAATTTTTTTGGTAATTTACAATACTACATTTAGACACAGGTTTAAAAAAGTTGGACATCTTCTCATCCAATCACAATATTAAAAACTTTTCGGATAGCCCAGTTTATCTGCGTTTTCTTTAGTAATGAGGTCAAAATGTAAGGAGTAGAAAGTACTGAGAATTGCATGAAATTTAAGGAACAAAAGTAAAAGGTCAACTCAAAAATAATTAGTCCAGTAAAGTATAGATAAGCAAAACTTCCATTTAATTAAAATAACTAAGAATTTATACTTCCTTACTTGACACCGTTGACGACCAGGGAATCTGCTATCATCAGAGGGGGAATATAGAGATGTTCCCAGTCGTGGAGGAGGAGACAAATCTGTTAACAGAAAATTTGAATGGTTGCAGAGAAGAATCCTGATGACAGAGGGCAATGGAGAGAGACCAGGAAGTAACAATTCTAACTTGTGACTTGGAGGCTAAATTCAACATGTAGTTGTCTGATTCCCTCAAGTACATTGGGAGGGCATACATATATACAAGCACAGAAACAGTGAGGATAAGAAAAGACAGGAACAAATGGCTCAGAGCTGAGCTTGATGTTAACATATCTGGATAAAACTCAGACATTAAATGGCTGGAGTACCACCCCTCCTATATGCAGAGGATGATCGGTTGCACATGTGTGCAGTCACACAGGTGTGAAGAATCAGTAAGCCCAGGAGTGGTCTCAGGACGCCCTCTGGCAAATATCTAAGAGAACCAGAACAACCAGCACAGCCACAATTCCCAGATCCTGACTGACTATTCATTTAATAGATTTTCTATTTGCTATACAAAGTCTGCTCAGTTGTTTTCGTTTGATTTATCCATCATAGATTATCAACAGACAGGATCTTCACATCCATCAGATGTCTTTTGTGTAGTGTATTCTTCCATGTTGAAGTTGATAGATGTTAAATGGGTAATCAAACTTTAGATTTGAATGTTTTTGTCTCCAAAACGTTTATCAAATAAGATTTTTCTTTAACTGATCATTTCAAAATTCAAACTCATGTTTCTTACAATTGAACAAGTATAGATGTGTTTATTAAAGTTCTGCCTATGGTCTTGCAGGTATATATTTAACTAACTCTTTTTGGGGGAAAATTTATAATGTTAAGATTTTATGCATATCTGAAATTAAATATTGTGTAAAAGTCTGCAATAAGGGAAAGGTGCATTTGAGGTGATCAAGATGTAAAAAGGATGTAAATATTACACCAAAGGTGAGTAAACAAAAGATAAAAATTGTTAGGATTTATAGAACATTCCACTCAGATTAAGATGTAAATACTTTACAAATGAATTTAATCATTCAAGACCAATATACATACATTCAACAGCATTTTTCCAATAAAGCACCATAAAACAAGGTTGTTATTGTTGTACAAGTTTTGTTGTTTTTATCAAATAATCGGAGATGATTACTTATTTTCTATTTTACAATAATAAACATCAGGTAGACACCATAATGATATAAATAATATTTCCAGTTCAGCAAAAATAGAAAATTAAAAACAGACTTAATGGTAAGTAATAACAAGGAGTGACAAGAAAAGTATTCCCTGTTATAAAAGTATTAAAGGCACCAATCAGATTCTTCTGTGTTAGTTCAGGACACATTATTTGTGTTTTCATTGTTATTGATCTCCATCCTGCTGATAAGTTCAGTGACCAGCTGCAGCACGGTCTGAGAGCGCAACCGGCCAACTTCCAGGACTCCCTCATGGTTTACACTTTCAGAGTCCTCGTAGCTCTTTACCACCTGCAGCGGAGACAAAGGAATCAATTAGGCAGTGATACAACAAAAGAAACAGCCTAGCAACCAATTTCTAAGTGACTATATTCCTCAATACCTGCAAATGTTTAAAAAAAAACATACAGTCTAACAATATGCAGAGTTATAATTGCATGATGTCAGTGTGACGGATTAATACCTTATTTGTGATCAGAGAGAGGCCAAAGACTCTGAGACCACAGTGAGTTGCCACAACGACCTCAGGTGCTGTGCTCATCCCTGAAAACAGCAGAGCAACATGAGGTTAGGTCAAAATTATTCATCTGTAAAGCTACACAGCTAATCAAATCAAGAGTTAACAAAATGCAGCTGAGTTGAATCACAACTGTCTTGATGTCTTAATAATAATATTGCTTCAATGACTGAATCGCCTCTACAGTGCACAGCTCATAGTCACTCTGTGACAAACCTGCAGGTTTTTTTTCCGCTATGGTAAATCTGTTGTAATAACTTTAGGACAGATTTTAATGCAATTGTTTTTAAGATTGTCTATTACCATCTAAATCAGTCAGAACACATTGCAACACAAGAAGATCAAAGTAAACGGCAAAGCGTTTTGCAGAGGTATTTTAAGGCCAAGCTTTAACAGAAAGTTACATTTATAAGCAGTACTTGTAGAAACACTAAGAAATATCATGTTTTACTTTGTTTTGACTTTTTAAATATTGCAGTTTGTATGTTTATATGGTTTGTAATATAAATTGCTTGCAAACATGTTTGTGCTAGCAGTTGATGAATTTGCTTGCAAAGTGGGTAGATTTTACACAATCTTGTTAGAATTACAGTAAGTTCTGTTGGTTAAACCTAATAAAACAAACATTTAAATGTGAAAACTAATGGGCACCCTAGTCCTCTTGAGCATTTACACACAAAGCTGTAAAAAAGAACAACTACAGTGAGCACTATGGAGATAAATGTTTACATTTGTGAGTAAATGTTCATTATTAAATGAACCTGTTATCCCTTATTCTCCATGCATGCAACTGAAAAATCTGTTCAGAAAAGCAACCACATGCTGCCCTCTCCCTACACAACAGAAATGAATGCAATGTGAATGCGAATAAAAAAAAAAATATCTAGGGTTAGAGCTACAGTATGAAAAAGAGAGAAAGGCCAAGATACAGTTCATCACATCTTGCGTCTTAGAGCGTCATACCAACTGCGTCCACGCCCAGTCGATGCAACAGTTTGGCCTCTGCGATGGTTTCAAAGTTGGGCCCACCAACCATGGCATACACGCCTTCCTGCACAAGGCCAGCAACGTCCATCTGTTTGGCGATTTCCATCACAAGGCTACGCAGCCCTTTGTCATAGCAACCTGACATAGCTGGGAAACGTGGCCCAAACCTGTAAACAACAATTTATTGGCATCAGGAAAAACATTTCAAGGACTTTAAAATATCATCAAAACAACCATGCATGTGAAGGTAAAAATAATAACTATGGCAATTTGATTACTTGTCATCGTTGGGCCCACACAGTGGGTTTAGACCAATAAGCCCAGGAAAGTTGATGTGGTCTTTGATGATCATGATGTCACCAGGCTGCAGGCCATCAGCCAATGAGCCTGCAGCATTTGTTACTATCAGAGTCTCCACCCCCATCAGCTTGAAGACCCGAATGGGAAAGGTTGTCTGTAGGAGAGAGAGTTCAGTATCTAGCTTACTAAGATCTTAGTTGGATTTGAATCTAGAGAAGGATGTTGCTGCCACATGCTGCATCTCATAACTATTGGAACTTGGTTTTCATGCTGTGAATATGAGATAAGTTAGGGGATAAAACAGACAGTACATGATGAGCTTAATGCAACATATCAACATGGAAGGTGACCTGCCCTAACAAGCAGCTCAACCTTAATGTTGACCTTTAAATCTCTTCTTAATGCTTGGCTTTTGAGACAATCTGGATGTTGAATTTGTCTTACTGTTTTTTTGTTTTTGTTTTTTTTCATTCTTTATATCTGCTACTTTTATGTACTACTTTGATCATTTGTATCTTATGATTGTTTAAAGCACTTTGGTCTTGTTGGATGTTTAAAGTGTTATATAAAAAATTACATATAATATAATAAAAACATTTTGCATTCACAATATAAAGTTTGTCAAGTAAGTTTGAGGACGACCTTACTTTACATGTTTGTTTTATGAGTTTTATTCAGTAGTTGTTACAGTAAATGTTACTTAATATAAAAGCATTTGGCCACTTTTTCACTTTTAATTTTAAAAGAACATGTCATTTTTCTCTTTCTAGAATTTTGGAAAAGTTCTAGG